GAGTGTAGCACAATCCTGGCTGATAGGAAGGGCTCCAGGCACCATCGCTATAACCATAACCATACTGTAACCGTTACTGTAACCGTAACTGTAAACATACCTGTGTAATGACGGCCATTTCCGGGGGGAGGTCGGGGGGAAGGGCCAGAAGCAGCTCTCCATGCTGACGAGCTGCGTGACCTTGGGCAAGTCATTTCCCCTCTTGAACCTGATTCTCTTCCTATGAGATGGGTGGGGGGAGAGATCCCTGCAGGGCAGGACTTCTGGAAGCTTCCATTCAAGCGTCATGCAGGGCTTGTGAATCTTAGTTCCCCCTGGAGTGTGAGGGCTGGTCAGCTCAGGCCTCACCGCCCCCATCCCCCAGGCCTCCTCCCTGGGGGCGGTGCCCGGAGGCCCAGCAGCTGCCCCTGAACGAACCCACCTGCCCTTCACCCCTCCCGCCGGGCCTGCTGCAGGCCTCCCGGTGCCCGGAAGCCGGTGATCGGGAAACAGCCCACGGCCCCACGCGGGTGTGAATCATGGTTTCTCTTCTGTTGCTTCTGTGAGTGAGCTTGGACTCGTTCGGCCACGGAGCCTGCGTTCTGATCCAGAAAAGGCCGCCCACAAGGCAGAGCAGGACAAGTGCTAACCGAGCCCACTTTTCAGATGCAGTAACTGAGGCCAGAGCGGTTAGGTGAATTCCCCAGCGCGCAGCTCACCGCCAGTGCCGTTAGGGCTGGGCCCCGGGCCTCCTGGTCTCCGGGCCCCCCTTTCCCAGCACGGCCTCTCCTCGCGGGCGGTGCTGCCCCGGCCTCTGGGGGCCCGGGAGGCGCGCAGACCCCGCTGTGTCCTGGGCCCGCAGCCCGCGCTCTGGGAGCCTCAGCTCCCGTCTGTAAAAGGGGCAGCGGGCCTGTCTGCAGGGTCAGCGTTTCTAAAACCCCGCGGCCCTGGAATCTCCCTGCTCTAGTTTCTTTCTTTCGTTACCCGGCCAAAGCCTCTGCTCTCCAGCACCTGCTACAAAGGTCTTTCTAGAACAATGAATGAACGAACGGCAGGCACGTGAGCAGACAGACACTGTCTCCCCCTGCTCTCCGGTGCTGGGCTTCCAGGCACCTGGGAGACCCCGGCAGGCAGCTGGGACCACAGCGGGAACGCTGCATGAGGGGTTGGGCCTGAGGGAGCCCAGGAGGAGGTGCGTCTAATCCATCTTCTGGGAGAATCAGGAAGGCTTCCTGGAGGCGGCGACATCAGACTGAGACTCGAAGGGTGAGTAGGAGTTTGCCAGTTTGGCAGTGGGATGGGTTTTCCGGGCCGAGGGCACAGGCGTCTGGGTTGCATTATTGCAATAACCGTGTTACTCGGGGTGAGAAGGGCCTAGAAGTTGGGGAACCTGGGTGTCGGTCCTGACGCAGCCCCTCACCCTCCCCGACTCGGTGCCCAGGCTGGCGTGTCTCTCCCAGGCCTCAGTTTGTCTATGAAGTGAAGGGGCTACAGCTGTTGGCTCCCGAGAGGGTGGGGAGACCAGGCGAGAGGCCGATAATGGCCACCCCTCCCCTCGGCGTCGGACCCGGCCTCCAGGAGGAGGGCGGGGTGATGGCGCGCTGACGGGAGAGGCGCCTCCACTCAGAAACACACAAGCTTCGGGGACCCCGTGTGTACAACAGCTGTGGTCCCATTAAATGAAAACGCGAGTGAGCGGAAGAGTCAGATAAAACGTTTCCTCCGCTCACAGACCATCCTTCCGAGCGCGGGTGCCCGAGGGTTGTGGGGGATGGACGCCAGCTGAGGGGCAGGGTGAGCCGGTGGCTTTGTCTCTACATTCTGCACTGATGGCTTTTCAAAGAATGTGCGTTATGCTCTTGTGATGGAACGCCCTGTGAAAGGGGCCTGCTGAGAGCCTCTTTAAATAAGAGCCCCAGGTATGACCTGTGGCGTGACATATGCCCCAGGTATGACCTGTGGAGTGACATATGCCACATGTATGACCTGTGAGTGACATATGCCACATGTATGACCTGTGAGTGACATATGCCCCAGGTATGACCTGTGGAATGACATATGCCCCAGGTATGACCTGTGGAGTGATCGCCCTGTGAAAGGGGCCTGCTGAGAGCCTCTTTAAATAAGAGCCCCAGGTATGACCTGTGGCGTGACATATGCCACATGTATGACCTGTGGCGTGACATATGCCACATGTATGACCTGTGGAGTGACGTGTGCCACATGTATGACCTGTGAGTGACATATGCCACATGTATGACCTGTGGAGTGATATAGGCCCCAGAGCACTTTATATATGAATTTCCTTAACAGTGAAAAGAAGCAGGCTTAGTGGGAGAATCAGGAAGAACAGTGGAGTAGAACGAAAACTCACACCACCCACAATCTATTTTTTTTAATTTAAACTCTTTTTTTTTTTTTAAGCCTACAGCACCCGGCATTCCCAGGCGGTCTCCCATCCAAGTACTAACCAGGCCCAACCCTGCTTAGCTTCCGAGATCAGACGAGATCGGGCGCGTTCAGGGTGGTATGGCCGTAGACTAATTTAAACTCTTTATTGTTGAAAGTGTTACTCACCACCCACAATCCTACTTTTCAACATGACCACCGTGAACACGTTAGGGAATTCATTTTAATTCTTTTTTCTATTTATAATTACAATTATGCTTTGTTTCTAAATCAGCATCGTACATATGATATACGTCTTTATATACAGACGTCTACGTCCATTTATGTGTAAGACGTAGAAAGGTATACAGGATGGGGCAAAGGAGGTTCGCAGTTGTTTGGATGGGAAATAAGACAATAATAAATAATAATACAAGAACATACTCTGTTTTGTGTACTCACAACTGTAAACCTCCTTTGGCTCCACTGTGTGTGTGTGTGTGTGTGTGTGTGTGTGTGTGTGTGGCCTGCCTTTTCTCTTAAAATACATCCTGCGTGTCTCCCCATGTCATCGACTTACTTACGTCACATGCTTGGAACATGGCTGTGCAGTAGCTAACATGTAAAGCCCTGATGCTCCTGGCTTCACGGGTCCTTCCTGCTGGGCATTTGCGTTGTTCTGTCTCTTTTTTGCTGCGGAACATCCTCTGTTTGTGAGTGTTTCCATCGTCATTTCCTTTAAGTAGGACTGTCTGACTCGCTCCCACCCAGCCCAGGTAACCCTGCGCGCCTGGTCGGGTTTGCTTAAAGGGGGCAGACCGCGTGGGTCACCGTCACCTCAGGGTCAGCGTTTTCATTCTGTGAGTGGTCCTCCCGGTGCCCCGATAGTCAGTGAGGGAAGGCCAGGTGCCCCCGGGGGCGCGAATTGGCGAGGTGAAGGCACATTGTTGATGATTTACTGGTGTCAGGGCTCCCCTCTACGACGTCGGTGTGGGGATCCGGACCCCGCGGTGGCAGATTCGAGAGCCGAGGTCACTGGCTCCGGGTTAGAGACGAGGAGCCCGAGGTTCTGAGAGGTGAGGGGTGGCCCCCGCGTGGCCGGCCTTGGCCTGGAGAAAAAGCAGGCCCAGGGGCATCGGGGAAACAGCTCTGGTCTGGGGTGGAGGGTGGGGTGTGGGGCGTCCTCCCTGGATGGGATCCCAGGAGGCCCCAAAGCTTCAGAATGCGCCCCATGTCCTTGCTTCTTTAAGCCCCACTGGGGGCGGGGCCAGGTTGGTTGACCCCACGAGATGGTCTAGAATAGTGGTTGGCAAACTGCGGCTCACGAGCCACATGCGGCTCTTTGGCCCCTTGAGTGTGGCTCTTCCTAAGCCTTAGGAGTACCCTAATGAAGTTAATAACAATGTACCTACCTATATAGTTTAAGTTTAAAAAATGTGGCTCTCAAAAGAAATTTCAATCGTTGTCCTGTTGATATTTGGCTCTGTTGGCTAATGAGTTTGCCGACCACTGGGCTAGAAGCAAATATTGATTGGCTCTGTGTGCGGAGATAATGGCAATGGTGCTGGTGATGATGGTGGTGAAGGTGATGGTGGTGATGGTGCTGATGATGGCAATAATGGGGTGATCACAGGTGATGGTGATGAGGATGGTGATGGTGATGGTGATGGCGATGGTGATGAGGATGGTGATGGGCAGTGTTGTGGTGTGTGGTGGTGGTGCTGGGTGTGATGGTGATGGTGGTGGTGATTGTGGTGGTGGTGATGGTGGTGATGGTGGTGGGGGGTGATGGTGGTGATGGTGGGATGATGGTGGGGTGATGGTGGTGATGATGGCAATAATGGTGGAGATCACGGTGGGATGGGATGTTGATGGTGTGGTGATGGTGGTGATGGTGGGGTGATGGTGGTGATGATGGGATGGTGATGGTGGTGATGGTGGTGATGGTGGGGTGATGGTGGTGATGATGGTGGTGGTGAAGGTGATGGTGCTGATGATGGCAATAATGGTGGTGATCACGGTGGGATGGTGACAGTGCAGTTGGTGATGATGGCGTTGATACTGAGGATGGTCATGATGGTGCTGCTGATGTCAATAAGCTGATGACAGTGAGGTTTGTGACGATGATGGTGGTGATGGCTACTGTTATGGGTTCACTCAGGGAGATAGACCACCGACTCAGAATTTAAATTTAAGAGCCTTGATTATGCTGGCCAGCTGACTACAGTCACAGCACCTGCCGAAGGAGAGGCTGAACTGCAGTGCTGACTACAGGGGTTATATTTTATTATTAAATTCTGTGGAGGCCCAGAGAAAATGTGACTTTTTCCAGTCTTTTGTCTCCCTAATTTGGAATGAGACTTCCGGGCCTTCGGAGAAAGAAGGCCTGCGTGCTGGGAAGGGGCCATGAGACCCTATCTCAGGGCCTGGCCTGGTGTCAGTACCTTCCTATCTATGTGTTTTAGGAACAGACAGCACAGCGTGACCCGTCTGGCCAGAGCGCCAGATACGCAGCCCAGCACATTCCCCACTGGCTTTATGTCCATGAGTCAAATCATTGACCCTTTTGGGTCATTGTTGGGGAGGGACCCCTGAGGGCCATAGAAGCTTGATAGAATTAATCCTTTGCCAAATAAAGTCAGTGGGCCTGTTTATAAGATAAGGTCCTGGAATGAGGGTCCACTGAGTCCTGGACTCTCTCTTTTGCCTGGGCTGTCTTCAGCCGGGTATGATGAAGCCACGACAGGATCCCGTCGACCTTGACTGCGGTGGGAGTGGTCCTTTCCAGGCAGGAGTCAGTCCTTGGGTGGCAAACTTCTTTACCCAAACAGAGTCACCAGGTTGGAAGGGATGAACTGGATACAGGCAGATCATCACAGACGTGCTTCTGGTCTGCTTTCTGGGTGGACTGTAAAGCCTGAAAGAACTTGAGTGAAGATTGGTTATGGATTTCAGCTTTTCTAGATTGGGTTTCTGTGTAAGCTGGTGAGGTGAGTAGGTCAGGGTCTGGAAGAGTCACGAGAATCTCTAGAGGCCCCATTGGTTTTAGGGAAGCCTCCTGAGTTCTCATCATTGGTGTTTCTATCGCTCCCTCCTTTCCTTTCTCTGAAATCAATAAAAGTATATTAAAAAAGAGAGAGAGAAAGAACAGATTCTTTTCCTTGGCCAGCAAAGCAGGTAAGTGAGAGAGAGAAAACAAAACAAAACAAGGCAGCTCTCTGGAGACCCTCTCAGGATTAAGTCCCAAAGGCAGTGTTCAGATCTAGAGGTAGGTGGCTGGAGGGAGGTTACCTAGCCATGAAGACGCAGAGATTAAATTGGTGAGAGGTTCTGTTACAAAGCAAAAAAGAAGAGAGATAGAGAATCCAAAGGAGGTGAATGGCAGTATTCCATCATAGGAAGCCAGCCCAACTCACATCAAAAGATTTCTAAGTATGCGGAACAAAGAGATCTGTTTGCTTTTCTTTATTCTTCAGAACAAACAGCAGTTCTTTGGAATATTCCTATGAAAACTAGGTGCTATTTCATAAAAGCAAATTAGGGAGAAGTCTGACAGAAGCCAGAGAGGTTCAGTATGGATATCTGATCTCTCCCAGCTTGACCAGGCTCATGTCCTTCTAGGTGTCACTCCATACTTTATATACTAACAATACTGAAGTAGGTTTAGATCCAGAGCTTTGCATGTACCTTAGTGTGTAAAAGAGACGCCATGTGGTCGATGAAAGAAAACGTGTGACACTTCTAAGGAATCCTAAACTGCTTTTGAAAGGACTGAATTTTCTCCTGAGCCGGTTGGGGACAGAACTAGAGTCATGGTTTTCTGATAAATTTTGTACCTTGAATTTTACCCTTCATCACAATGACTAGGCAACCTGGGTTTCACTAATAATTATTATATTTTTGTAATTATTTGTCTTGGTGAATACTAAGAGGCCATCTTAGGGTAGAGAGGCTCCACCCTGAACAGAAAAGGTACTTGGATAAATGAATAAGTGAAAGAATTGTCTTGGCTCAGAGACTCAGCCAGGGGTCTGTCTCCATTTTTTCCAAAGCCAGCAAATAAAACAAACAAACAAACAAATAGAAAACCATTCCTGGAGTAGAGAGGTAATAGGTCTGAGAGAAAGAAAGAATCAAAAATCCAGCAGATAAGTAAATATCAACAAAACTTCTGGTCTGCTCTCCCTGCCGACGGCCGCCCCCCTTTTCTGCGTTAACCATTTGCTCTGTCCTTAGCTGTTCTCCTGCCTAGATTTCCCCTTCTTTAAGTCCCAGAGGCTCAAATCCCTCTCCTCCTTTACTACTTTTGATCTCTCTGACTAGCCCCCGTCCTCCAGCCCCGGGCTCCTCCATCTCAGCAGGCTGAGAGCCTACCACCCTATCTAGTGAATCCTACTGCCACCCCATCTCACACCCGCTCAGGAGCAGTTTTCAGCCCTCTTCCTCCCCCAGTCAGAGCGGATGCTGTCCCTGACAGAGACCTACTGTAAATCTATCAGGAAGGGCAGGCAAGTTGCAGGTCTCGGGACCACGTGATAAAAATCCGGCAGTCCCTCTCCCTCACCCTACACAGGCCATGAGAAAATGTACTCATCTTAACCCAATAAGCCTTTGTTTAAACTTCTCTGGGTTGCAACCTTATACCTTTAAATTAACCCTAGACTTCTAAAATGTTAACCTAACACAGCAAAATCATACATCAGAGAAAAGCAATTAAAAGTTCTCTCCTGTCTTCCCCAAAAGCGGGGTTGGTCCTATCTTCAAACACATTAAACAACAGAACAAATACTCTCATGTGTACAGCCAGACGGCACAAAGCAGCTTTCACTTCACAGAGACTCTCACACTGACATTCATACACCAGACAGTCCAAGTTTTTGACTTCTACCAAATGTTTACTCAGAGATTACGCAATCCAACCAATTCCTGACTAATTGCCTAAGGGAGCTCTATGGCTTCCCGGGCGGTGATCAAGCTTCCCTTCCACTCACTCGGAGTGGGCCTGACTGATCGGGGGTCGACGAAGACGACTGACCCTGACCCATTTTGACAAAGACAAAGACAACAAACACCATAGACAACAAACACCAGACAACAAACCCGGTGCAGCCTACAGCCACAAAAACCAGGGACCCTGGCCACCGTCATGGCCGTGGGTCAGGACCAGGAGTACCACTGCGTCCAGCCCTCCGTATAGGTCCTTCCGTGGGACGTCCCAATTCCAGATTAACGACTGGTCTTCCTTACCTCTCTCTCGAGTCTAGGTGGCTCGGTTTCCGAATCGAAAGTTTTGGGTGGAGTCTCCTCCGCCTCCCTAGAACCCGGGACGGAGACTGGAGGCCTCCTTGGTAGTCATTCCCCACAGGGATGTGGGGTATCTCGCTGCGTGCCCGGCGATAAATGGGGGAGAGCCTCCTGCCCTAAATAAGTGGTCCCTCTCACCCCAGCTGGGTGTCTCGCTGCGGCCTCCAAATGTTATGGGTTCACTCAGGGAGATAGACCACCGACTCAGAATTTAAATTTAAGAGCCTTTATTAAGCTGGCAAGCTGACCACAGTCACAGCACCCTGCCGAAGCAGAGGCTGAACTGCAGCGATGACTGCAAGAGTTACATTTTATTTATTAAATTTTGTGGAGGCCCAGAGAAAAATGTAATTTTCCAAACTCAGAAGTGGGACCCCCAATATGGAGGAAACTCGTTATTTATACTTTTCCCAGTCCTTTGTCTCCCAAATTTGGAATGAGACTTCCGGGCCTTTGGAGAAAGAAGGCCTGCATGCTGGGAAGGGGCCATGAGACCCTATCTCAGGGCCTGGCCTGGTGTCAGTACCTTCCTATCTGTGTGTTTTAGGAACAGACAGCACAGCATGGCCCGTCTGGCCAGAGCGCCAGATACGCAGCCCAGCACAGCTACCCCTTCCTAAGGGCCTTCACTGTGCCAGGGCCTCTGGGTAACGCATCATCTTGTTTCTTCCCCAATGGGTATCCACTCTCACAGAATGATCGGAGGTGGCCAGCTCATGGGCGAACTTCTTTATCTCAGTCGTTACGTGTTTGTTCTAATGTACATTAATTTAATGGCCTTGTGTAGGGGAGAGACATCTTTCTCCTCCGAGGTCCCTCTGGCTGGTCGAATAATTAAATAGCTATGAGAGACGTTAACAGAGAAAATGACCAAAGTTAAGTACATACATACATATGGGAACGCCACACATGGGAGAGAGTCAGAGACCCCACGTACGTGGGAGGGTCCGGGGCAGAGAGCTAGGAGGAGGCATTTGTGGCAGCCTAGCGGAGGGTCAGGTCGGGCCCTTGAACCTGAGAGGGGAGGAAGGTCATTTGAAGGGTGAGGAGAGCAGGTGTTCAGTATTAGAAGCTTGCCCTGACCTATGGACGGGTCATAAGCAGTCATTTCTGGTGACAACTCATTACGGGCAAGGCCCCCCATTTAGTTCTTTCAGGGGGAGGCCACCGTTCCTCGTGGGCACACAGGGTCTCAATGCCTTCGTCTCCGAGTCATTCACAAACTGCAGTGGCACCCGTGGGGGAGGCCTGTCCGAGGCCGTGAGCACCCAACCTCCTGCCCTGTGAGCGGGAAGTGAAGTTTCCTTTCTAGGTGATTTCGGTAAAAGTGCTGGCGGATTCCAGTGAAAAATGTTCACACCTGCACGTGGACGCGGTAAACCTCATGAAGGGGGACTGAAGGAGCGGCCGGGGAGGGCGAGGGGCGGGCCATTCCTCGTTAACCCCGTTCGGGGGGCGGGCTGAGCGGGAATCGGGGGCTGGGGTCGCCCCGATGCTTCATGGCAAACCCGTTGCATCTGCACGTGGGGCGCAGCGCAGGAACGGTGCGGTGGCTGGGCTGGTCCTGACTCTGGCGCCATCGATGTTTTGCCTCGTCCTACCCTGTGCCTCAGTGGTGCCCGCGGTTGTACTAGTTTGTATCTGACTCCCCCCCCGCCCCCCGCCCCCCAACAGTACGCTCCGGCGATTCGTCCATGTGTCGTGCATAGCAAGAGCTTGTCTTTCTTTGCTGCCGGGTAGTATCCCATTGTGCGATGGTCCCACAGGACACGTACCCATTCTTCCATGACGGACACTGAGCCATACAAAGTTTTTTTTTTAAATATGGTGTGTTTTTACTGATTTCAGAGAGGAAGGGAGAGAGATAGAAACATCAACAATGAGAGAGAATCATGGACCGCCTGCCTCCTGCCCGCCCCCACTTGGGGTCGAACCCGCAACCCGGGGCTTGGACCTTAGAGAGAATCATTGATTGGCTGCCCCCTCCCCCCCCCCCCCCAGGGATCGAGCCTGCAACCCCGGCTCGTGCCCTGACTGGCAATTGAACCATGACCTCCTGGTTCATAGGTTGCCGCTCAGCCACTGAGCCCCGCTGGCCGGGCCCAAGTCCTCGTGTTTTAAGCTTGAAGCTCTGCTGCCTCCCACAGATACCGGGGCATCACAGAGCCGCCCGGGCTCCGGCAG